TGATCAAAAGAGAGAAAACAAACTGCAGGAGAATAGGCAGGGTGAGGACTAGAACCGGATTTGGTAAATGTTTTGGAGGTGACTTAACCCTCTCTGAACTCATGTGGCCTCCGTGTCTAGGCTTATCGGAGTGGCCTCCTAGACAAAGAGAAGGACTCTGGGAAGTAACGTATGTCATTGAGTTAGCCACCAACAGGGACTGAGAGGTGGGCACTGCTATACAAACAAGGGGGACAACAGCTGTCCCTATGCCATGATGCGGGCACTGAGCGCCAGCAGACCCATGTGATCCAGGATGCCACGCCCAGGTGGCCCTGCTTGGCTGTCAGCTTGCCACATGCCTGTGCTGGTCACTGCACAAGGCCTGTCTGGGCACTAACGACTCAGAACTGTGTGTCTGGCTCACTGAAGTTCAGGAGACTGCGGTGAGCATCTACATGACGTCCTGAGGGGCTGTGACAGAGCGCAAGTGAGAAGGCGAGGGGACAATGCTACTGTGCCCCCACAGCCGATATCCCTGCAATCTGTCCCCTGGTCCCACCTCCACAGCCAGAGCCCCTCACTTCCTGCACCCAGTCCTTGTGACATTCCCCAATCATTCCTCTTACTGCAGCCATGATCGTCTTATCCAAATGCCGACGGCGACGTGGATGTGCTCACTTGCACATGACCAACGCGTTCCTTTAACTTCAGGACAGAATCCAAGGTCCCTCCTGTGGTCCAGGAAGTCCTCAGGGTCCCACACTTCTGCACACCTGCCTGCATCCCTCCCGCACGGGACCCTCTCCTACTACGCACCCCCTTCTCTCTGGCTCCTTCAAGACACACTGCCAAGCTTCCTGCGGGCCACAGCACACACAGTGCGCGGGGCTGGCCTGCTCTCTCTCCACCCAGCGCTGCCCTTCTTCCACATCTGCATTCAGGCATCACTTTCTCAGCACAGCCATCCATAATCTTTGGTCTTGACCCCTTGGTTATTCACTGTCTGTCATAGAATTACGTTCTCCTTGTCCTGCTACTTACTCAAGCTGGTTATAAGGTATTAGACGACTACACTGGGGAGGCTACAGATCACACCCCAGGACACAAACCCGCCAGAGCAGGAACTGGTTTTGAATCACACAGTCCATCCTTAGATCCTAGCACAGGACACAATGTACAGTATGTATTTAATACACGTTTCATTATCTCAGTGCAGGCACACTTGTCACACAACTGCCACAACCGACTGTGACAAGTAGCCTTCCCCTTTTTTCCCTTTTGTTTCTTTTTGACATTTTACTTCCAAAGAGTTGACTTTGTGAAAAACTAAACAAATGTTTTCTTTTTAGAGAAAGAACTCTCTTTAGTGAATGCATAGAATACGGATTAGAAAGAGATACGGTGGTTTTATTTTTTTTTGACCTCTCGAATTTATAGCAATTTCTGATAATTTTCAGCTGTTATATTGGTGGGCTAAGAATACTTGGCCATTCCAGATCATAAAGTTTCAAAACGGGCCCAGGTCAGAAGCCAGAATGTGTAATTGCGCATTCCCCTTATTGAAGTCGCCCAGAGCCAATTATTCACTGTGCCAGACTCATCCAAACACGTTACTAGCCAATGGTTTCCAAGGTCCTGCTGCCCAGACAGCCAGATTCCCTGGTGCTCGAGCTCCAGGACTGTGCAGACTGTAGGAATGGAGAGAGACCACAAGGCTTAAAGGCAGAGTTGGCCACAACCAATTATCATTAGAAATAGTCTCCCTTCATGTTAATATACAAGAAAGACTCCTGGGGAATCTCAGATTAGAACCTGTCTAGAAAATGTGTACATTCACAGAGCCAATATTTCTGTATTAGGATTGGTTACATTTGAGGAGGTGGGAGTGAGTCAGGAGCCTGTCTTTTGATTAATCAGGTTGGAAACTCAGACAGACACAGTAAACTGTCCCAGTTCTAAGAGCAAGACATGGCAGAGCCAAGCCAAAGGGGATCTAATTATAGCCAGTTTAGTTCTTTTTTTTTTTTAAGTTAAATCTGCGATTACAAAAGGGTTTTATGAGATGTGGTGTGGGGTCATCAGCATTGAAATCACTCCAGAGGGTTTGCAGGAGTCATCCTGACTCAGAACCTCCTGGGAATGGGACCTAGACATTTTCAACATGTTCAACAGCCCTACTGAGCACTAGTGTCCACTAACGTGAGACTCAAAAAGCTGATTAACGTCCTGCCTTAAAATCTCATATCTTTTGCAATTTTACTCTAAAAATTTAAGACAAGGAAAAAGAAGGACTGTCTTAAATCTTCCAGTTGAAGTCATTGGGGTGGGTGGAGAGACAGAGAAAAAAGCTGGAGGTCATTGAATACATATTAGTTTATCTTATGACCATGAAAATGTGTGTGTTGGCCTAGGGATTTAGCTCAGTGGTATAAGTATCTGCCTGGTAAGTTCAAGGTCATGAGTTTGATCCCCGATACCAAAAAAAAAAAAAAAAAAAAAAAAACCCAAAAAGAAACAAACAAAAAACCGAAAAAGTGTGTGTGTGTGTTAGCATTGTTAATTTTGTCATTGCAATCCTGAGATGATCATTCAGTACGGATATCCTCAAACCATCTCTCCTGGTTTGCCAGTGGTGGAATTTCTGGGCTAATGAGCATGTAAACTTTAAAGACTTTTTAAAAATGAGGCAAAATGCCTTCAGGAAAATGTGTATCCTTTCCAACACCGGGTATCATTACCTTTTGTCTGTCAACTTGGCAAAGTGTTTTTTTAACTTGTATTTTAAACCTTTAGTTGTTTATGTTGCTCAAATAGTAAACGTTTTTATTCATTTGCTGTCAGCTTTAACTTATTCTATAAACCCACAGTGCTATTACCTACCACTTATTTTTAAGTGGTTTTGGAAAAAGCTTGTAATATTAAGGATACTGGTCCTTTATGATCTGTGTTGCAAATCCGTGTTTTGGTGCGTCATTTGCTGTTTGATCTTACAATGTTTTTGCCCTTTGTGATAGAGGTTTAAAAATGTTATGTAGCTCATCTATCACTTTTATCTTTATGCTTTCACCAGGTCCAGGTTGCCTCCAGTTCCGGAAAATCCACCCCGGATCCCTAAAGTCAGAGTCCCGAGGAGACCTAGGAAACTCTGCCTGCTCAGCAGCCAGCTCCAGTTGCAAAACCCACACGTGGACAGGCTGGAGCAAAGGCTTAGAGTCCGCCTGAGGCTCGCGGGGTCAGGCTGGGGGAGAAGCGACCAGCCACGGGGCGAGGCCGCCGGGACCGCCAGGGTGCAGTGGGGTCAGGTGGGTGCGTGGGCCAGGCATGGGGACTGACCCCGGGGGTGAGGTGCAGAGCAGAGCTGAAGCCCAGGGCCCCGCGTGCGGGGCCCTGAGTTTGACCCGAGCACCACAAACAAAAGAAGAAAAAGAAAGAAAGGAGGAAGAGAAAAGAATGGGCCTCAGGAGGAGCATTCTGTCACGGAGGTCACACCAAGAAGGCAGGGATGGGGACGCACAGCGCTCCGTGTCTGGGTGTCTGCATCGCAGTGTGAACAGCTGCACACCGTGGTTGACCTGCTTGTTACCTCTGCACGTCTTTGTGTGGCATATGGATGGTACCAAAGCGAAAACTGGGGTGAAGGCGGGGCATGGTGCTGCCCTGCATAAACCCAGTTCTCTGGGAGGCTGCCGGGAGGGGGGGTCCTCAATTTTAAGCCTATTCTTATTAATTTAGTGAGATCCTGTCCAAAAATAAAATATAAAAAGGATGTAGCTCAGCGTGAAGGCCCTGTGTTCAGCCCTCAGTGCCGCAGTAAACATAGACATGAGTAAGTAAAACCAGACGTACCCCTGCACTGTGGGTCACATTATATTTCTCCTGGGCCGCAGGGCTCCCGGGCAGTGGGAGGCCCTGGATCTGCCTTCCACTCTCAGTTGTGTCACTGATTTGAGCTGGACTCTGGAGCTCTCCCTGCATTTCCGTGGCAACCCGAGGGACGTCAGGCTTCTATCCCTGGTGAGCCAAGTCTTTGTTCTGCTGGCCGCCTTTTCCCCAGCCGCCTTGGGAAGCTGTTGGCTGGAGGCTTCTAACTGTGTTCTGAAGACACTGTGGCATCTTGGGACACATGGGGAGGTGGTGGCTTCTGAGTGCCCACCAGAGAGACGCATCCAGGAGATTGGAGAGCCTTTATTTGTGGAGAGCCAGTGCGCAGCCCGCCCCCACCCTGGAACCCTCCAGCTGCTGGAACCTGCTCCCCAGGAGGCCTTGGCTGCACAGTGTCCTGGTCTGGGATCTTGCAGGGTGACCCAGGGGCCTTCCTGGGATTCTCCACAGCCTCTGAGGTCAGAGGCTCAAGTGGGGCCAGGGAAGGAGCCACTCTTGCTCTGTCCAGAGGTGTCATGTGAGTTATCGCTAAGTGTCTTCTCTCTAGGTTAGTACTGGGGCGTCAGAAAACTGAACCCCATGTGGGGACTCACAAGTATCCTTCCAATACCCTGGTGGGCTGGGGCAAGAGGACCAGGTCTGAGCTTGGCCCACACAATTGTGTCAAATTAAGGAATTTTAAAAGGCGCTGGGAATGCACCCTGGCTGCAGAGTCCCAGGCTTCCGGGTGTGCGGTGCTCAGGCAGCACCCTTGTCCCTGACCGCACACGGGAAAAGCTTTCTTCTTAGGGTTTTGAGATGGGGTCTCACTAAGTAGTCTGGGCTGGTCTTGAACTCAGGGCACTCCTGCCTCAGCCTCTCCAGTGTTAGGATAACATCTGTGTGTTACCACCCCAACTTGCTTCCCAAATCTTTTCAACAGAAATCAGTTCAAAAAGTTGTGTGTGCGGGGACATTCACTAAGCTCCAGACAGTCAAAAGGCACTTAAATATTTACCGGTATAAAAAGCACGAGCTGAAAAGGGAATATATAAGGCTGAATTTGGCACAGTCTTTGACCCTGAGAGTGCAGAGGCACTCGGGCAGTCTAGTGGGTACTGGGCATGAGCAGGTTTGTAAAAGAAATGTTGCATGCATAAGCTCAGGGAGGTCCTGGGGACCACCTGCGCTGTGGTTACGGGAAGGGCGGGCACTATGGGCTGTGGGGAGCAGAGGCCGAGTGGGTGAGGTCCCCTGGGCCAGTGAGGGCCACCGACCCAGCCACAGCCCTGCAGCCCTGGCTCTGGAATAAGTTTTCAACTTTTTTTTCTTTCTTTCTTTCTTTCTTTCTTTCTTTCTTTCTTTCTTTCTTTCTCTCTCTCTTTCTTTCTCTTTCTTTCTCTTTCTTTCTTTCTTTCTTTCTTTCTTTCTTTCTTTCTCTCTTTCTCTTTCTCAAGGTACAAAGGTTGAGTCCAGGGTCTTTACAATGAGCTATACCCCTAGGCCTTTTTAATTTTTTATTTCAAGACAGGGTCTCACGCAGGGAAAGAAGTCTCAAAGTGATCGGGCCAGTTACTGTGCCACCAAGATCCTGAGAAACGCTGCAAGAAAAACACCCTGTGGTGAAGCTCGTAGGACGTGGGATTGTGTCCAGGTGAGAATCTACAAGGCACTGATAAACTCACTTTTCCAAAATTGGTTAGCAGATCATTTCTGCACTATTTAGCCAACAGTCAAGGTTGAAATCACCTTTGCTGATATGTGAGTCAACTATTTTACTAAATCAGTTTAATTGGTTGTTTAAAAATAAAAAGGATTAGCCAGGCCCAGTGTCTATGCCTCTGATTTGAGCAATGTGGATACTGAGGCAGGAAGGGAGCTCAAGGCCAGCCCAGGCCTGAGGATGCAGATTAGCGCTCTGCAGGCTCAAACACTAGGGCCTTAGCAAGCCAAACAAGACAAAAACGGTCACAGTCACCCAGAATAGAAGTACACAAAATAACCCAAAACACCTGTGAAACTTAGAATTTAGGGACAAATTCTAAGTTTTATAGGCCCAGAGGCACATGTTGGTGTCGAGCCTGTGACCCCTCAAAGCCTCACACAGTCACAGGTGGGGCTTTCCAGAGGTGGCTGGGTCCAGAGTGTGTGCTGCTGGGATCAGGGATGTATGATTACTACCTCAGTCCACGGATTGGTTCTGCTTAGTTCCAGTTAGGGTTAGAGTGTGAGTGCTGCATGCTGGGAGCCTGCATGACATAGAGGGGACAGAAGGAGGGTGAATGTGCTCTCCCCTGCCTGCCTGCCATGGCAGATTCTCCTCTGTGAGGCCCCTCTGCTGCGCCACCCTGCCTGGGAGCTGGTGGCCGTGGACTGAAGCCTCTGCACACTGGGAGCCAAAGAAACCTTTTCTCCCTTAACTTGGAGGTGCTGGGTATTTTGTCTCAGCAACAAGAGAAGTAACTGAACAGGTGGTAATCACACTGGCTGACGGCTAGCTCACACCTACAGATTGGCAAAGACTGGCCTGAGTGACTTTATTGGGTAGGGATAATCTTGTGTGAAAATCAGAATATACAAAATATTGCAAAGAGACCGCCAGACACAATACGCAAGCCGGCAATGGGTGGGACCTTAATATGTTAATAGTGGAAGATGCCTATGCATGTAGAGAAGCTCAAAAGGAGTTTAATCCAGCACTTTTCGCTCAAATTCAAACAGCAGCTACTCGAGCATAGAGAAAGATGCCTGCAAAAGATAATAAGAGCTCCTGTCTCGCTAGCATTAAGCAAGGCCCAGATGAACCCTTTTCAGAATTTGTTGATCGTTTGATTACTGCTGCTAACAGAATCTTTGGCCACGCTCTGCAGGCACTGATTTTATTAAACAGCTAGCTTTCGAAAATGCCAACACCGCCTGCCAGGCCACTATCAGACGTCATAAAAATAAAACAGACCTAACAGGATATATACACCTTTGCTGTGACATTGGAACTGCTTGTCAGCAAGGCTTTGCTATGGCTGCTGCCTTGCAAGGGTTTACAGTTAAACAGTTCTTATCTCAAAAGCACAAACAAAACTGTTTTACCTGTAGAGAGACTGGTCATTTTATAAAAAAGACTCCAGGGATAGAGATTCCAATGTGAATTACTTTGACTCATTTAACTGATCAGAGTGATATTGTTCTGGTCTCTTGAGTTTAATTTCAGCATATATAAGGATGGGGACAGCTGCTGAGAAAAAAATGAGAGATACCACATTGGTTGTTACTGTCTTCCCCAATGTCAGATCTTCAAAACCTGAGGAGCCTTCATCATGCTGTGGTGGTTTGACTAGGTCTATAATATGCAGTGTGTATTTAATGTGCATAAAGAGGGGGACACCTAAAAATATTCTATCTCATGCCTTTTTCACCCTTAATTTTTAAAATTTTGATGCTTCTGGACACTTAATAGCCATGCATTTTTGGCATACGGAAACACAAAAGCAATTTGCTTCTGTACTATGGAGAGACCCCCTGGCTAACTTATGGTATGGCCTTGACCCCATTCTCGTATGGGGACGTGGTTCAGTGTGCATATACTCCCGCCAAGACAAAGAGGCTACATGGCTCCCCGAATGCCTTGTTAGGCAAATTAATGAGTCAAATAATAATAACCCCCAAAATGCCCAGGAGTGAACACATACCCTGAGGCAACTTCTTGTGCTTCCTTACAGAAAATGCCAAACCGATGGATTACTTGGTGCCTTCTCGAGATCCTACGTGGACCACCCTTGACCAATGGTGGATTTGGACCTCCCATCACAAATGGCCTCTAACCCCTTCTCCATGCTCTGGGGAGCGCTCTTCCCCTACCTAGCGCCCCTCCTGGGGCCCCTAGCTGCCCTGTTGCTTCTCCTCTCTGTGGGTCCTTGTATTTTTCAGAGGATTATGGTGATCATTCATAACCAGATACACGCGTTTATGACAAAGCCCATTCAGCTACACTATCACTAGCTAGAAATGGCAAATTAAGAAACCTACAGGGAACAAGTGGCCCATATGACAATGTGGCCTAACTGCCCCAAGGCAATGGACAGGCAGCCGGAGACGGGCAACTAGGACATACATATTACACCACCAGCCACCTAACACAGGCACAGGACCAACTGCTGTCCTGTAAGCCCATGACGGGTAAGGCCCGGTTGGGTTCATGTAATTAGGTCCTTGACCTAAGAGAGGTGCTGTCCTCACACAGCCTGCCATACTCCTGACTAAAAAATATAGAAAGGGAGGAGATGTAGGGAGCGGCGCGACAGCCCCGCTCCTGTTTCTCCACCTCTCCCTCCTATGGGCACATAGTGCGCCTGCCTACATTAACCATAATCCTCTCCTACTTACGTCACGTACAGGGACGTGACGATGACCCTTCAGAGATCACCCCATAGCCTCTTCTTGTCCCATCGGCCCACCCTTGCCCTATAAAAGCAGCGACCACTTTATTAATAAATGAGACTTGATTGGACTCCCTCGACTTGTCTCCGTCTCTCTGTCTCGGGCCCTGTTTGTGTTAATCCCCGTTCCTTCTCCAGGAAACTGCCCTGCAGATCTGCACTGACCCGCGGGCCGGGTCAGCTGAATCCAGTTTGTGCTTGATTCATGGTCAGAGCTGGGATTAAGGGTGTGAGTGCCACACCCACCCTAGGCTGGCAGCCCGCACACAGCGTAAGGGCCAGGAAGAGGTTTGTTTCTCTCCCTTACTGCTTGTGCTGTCTTCTGCCTGGTGAACTGTTTCTCCTCTGTGACGCCACCCTGCCTTGGAGCCAACTGATGTGGACCAAAACCTCTACAGAGCCATGAGCTAGATAAACCTCTCCTCCTTTCACTCTGAGTGTCGGGTATTTTGTCCCAGCAAGGAGAAAGTGACCAACGCACACCTTTAGCATACATTAGCACTAGGATTACCAGTTATTCCAAGTCGCAGAAGAGTGAGGGACCAGAGACTCCCTCAGAGATTGACAGGCAGCAGAGGGGACTGAGGCTTCTCTCAGGCCTGCCAGCTGCAGCCACAGGGGGTGAGCTCCTCCTCCTGAGGCCACAGCCTCATCCTCCTCCATGCTCCCACTGCCATCCCGCTGAGAGGCTGCCCTGGCGTGTATCTGCTCCTGTGTTTACACTGTGCCAGGGCTCACGTGCTGGTGACACTGAGGTGGAAGAAGCTTTGAGCAGTGATCTGTGACAAGGTCTGGTACCCAGTCAGGTCCGGGAGAGGGGGTTGTGACAAATCCGTTCTCTGATCCGGAGCCCTCAGGCCTCCTGGCTGTTGCTCTCTCCCACATGTTTTGTAGTAAAGCTCTCACCAGAGACAAAACGGATGCTGCCTCTACTCAACAGCAGACTCCAACACTGTGGGTCAAGGACACCGTTTCCACGTCTGTAACCCACTTCAGGTGTTTTGTGTTTTGATTTGTCTTGAGATAAGGTCTTGCTGTGTAGCCCAGGCTGGCCTTGAACTCACAGTGGCTCTCCTGTCTCAGCCCCCTGAGGGCTAGGATCATAGGTGTGCACCACCATGCTCAGTGAGGTATTTCATTATAACACCAGAAAACAGGCCCAAACACTGCCTGGCTGGACCTTGCTGCAGTTGAGCTGGACATGACACGTTCCCTAGGGGGTTTCCTGGCGTCTCTCACCTGTGGGCCTCGTGCACAGGTAATCACCTGGGGTGCTAGGACCCACCTGGAATCTGGTCCCCAACACCGAGCAGGGATCAAAGGACAGTGTTGACTGGACCTGGGCTCTCCTAAACCCACGAGAGCCCCTCTGTGCCACACCAGCATTCAGTAAGTGTGCACAGTGACAGGAAAGAGACAAAGAACACAGGAGTTTCAAGGGAGAAGAATTTACTGTGATTTACAGGGGGAACGACAGGCTGGTGACCAGCCACATGGCAGCTACCACTGAAAGCAAAATTTCTTACTACTGAAATCAGGAAACTCGGTTGATTTCAATAAAAACTGTTTTCCTCAAAGGAACAAGGCATTAAAGTTGAGACTATGAAAACGAACGATTTTTAAAAAAATTCCTTTCAAAAATTTGCATAGCCTTATATTCCTTATGAATAGAAAGTCATTTACATTTCTTGACTTCCAGTGGGTAAAAGATGGGGGGCTAACTCCCACAGGGCAAAGGAGGTTGCCATCTGCTCCCGTGCTGTGTTCAGGCGGGACATGTGGAGTCCTCCAGGATTTTCTTCAGGATGCCCTTGGTGTCCTGGGCGACCAAGTGAAGCATCCGCTTGTGTGTCACTTGTGCAAACCAGCGGACAGCACGGGGACCGAGCCACGGGACCCAGCGGAGCAGGCGGAGCAGCATCTTCATCACTGAGCAGGTGGCCAGGCGCAGTCTACAGTCTGCTCTGCGGAGACCACACAGATCCTGGGACCTCAGGAGGGTCCTGTACTCTGACACCACCCTCCCGGTGCTCCAGGCCACCTGCAGGAGGGAGTCGTCGTCTATGCCAAAGCACCCCCGGTAGACCCGCAGATAATGCTCCAGGTCATCGGCACCACAGCTGCCAAGGGTGTCCTCTGGACAGTTTTGCAGAACTCTGGTCTTCAGGGAGGCCACTTTCTCGTTAATGGTCTCCTTACACGCACAGGACATGGCCTCCAAGGGCCCACTGCACCGGATGTTGAAGATGTCGATCCTCAGCTCCTTCCTTAGATCTGGGAAGTCATGCAAATCGGGGTCGAGGCTGGATACCAGGAAGATGGGGGGTTTGTGCACCCCTTCCTTCAGGAGAGTCTCCAGGATATTCTCCTGGATGTTGCGCAGGAGGAGGCCCCGGGAGAGGGGGGTCGTGCTGAGGTCCCTGTCCACCTTGGTCCAGATGACGTAGAACCTCTTTCCCATGCCCTGGATGGTCTTGGCCAGCCTCACATGGTGCAGGCTGAACTGCTCGGACGCGATGAGGAGGAAGAGGTCGTACTGGCTGTGCTGCAGCTCTCTCAGGTAGTGCTCGAGGCTCTGGTCTGAAGCCCCCATGCCCGGGAGGTCCCACAAGAACACCTCGGGGAAGCTGGGGGAGGTGTACCTGGCCGGGGTCAGGGTGGTCCTCACCACCCCGGTGGGAGCCGAGGCCACGTCCTCATGTCCGATCCCTCGCAGGGCGTTGACGAAGGACGACATACCATTGCCGGAGTCCCCCGTCACGGCAAGGCTCACCGTGGCCCTGGATGCCATCTCCACCACCTTCCTGGCTATGGCGACCACTTCCAGCAGCTGCCCTTCCTTCACGGCCTTCTCCAGATCCCTGCTGACCTCCAGTGGGACGCCTCCGCCTCTGTGATAGGACACTCCAGATGTGAAGGAGGCAGACAGGGGCGTGCGATGGGACACCAGGTCTTCTTCCATGTTGGCCAGCAGAGGGGCCACCTGAGGAGCAGAGGGGCACGTGGGTTAGGAAGGGTGTGTGCGACACAGGAACCAATGCACTTCACACTCAGTGCAGGATTCCAGGTCCATTTGCAAAGAAACACTGAGGACACTGATGGCAATGGAGCGGGCATAGCGGGCACTGGGTGACGTGCACATCACCAGCGGTCAGGAGAGCCTGAGCCCTGCTCTGCAGCTGTCACGGCAACGGCTGGCCGTGAGGAGGACTGGTGAGGGACCAGGGCAGGAGAGGGTCAGCCAGGCCCCTCGTCGTGGGCAGGCCACACCCCTGCCTCTCTTCGGATGGGAGGGGAGGGCTGACCACTGCACCCACCAGCTCTCCGCACCCAGGCACTCAGGGGGAGGCCGCCGGGGTCCTCCCTGGGCTGCCCTTCTGCATCAGGAGTAGTGAAGTTACTTTTCATTCACACTGTGAAAGCGGCTTTTTTACTCTCAAGAGTTTTGTGGGGTTTTTTTTGTTTTTTTGTTTTTTTTGGCCAAATTGGGACATTATGGTGAGTACCTGTCACATACCCACTTCAGTGGAGACGTGGACACAAACTTCCCACATAATTTCAAGTTAACAACCATATGCACAATCCTGTGGGCAGATGGTGGTGTGCTTAGTAAAGGCCCTCGGGCTAGTCTGGGGACACAGGGCTATCTTGTTGGCTCTCTCTCTCTCTCTCTCTCTCTCTCTCTCTCTCTGTCTCTGTCTCGCTTTCTCTCTGTCTCTCTCTCTCTCTCTCTGTCTCTCTCTCTCTGTCTCGCTTTCTCTGTCTCTCTCTCTCTCTTTCTCTGTCTCTCTCTCTCTCTCTGTCTCTCTCTCTCTGTTTAGCAGGAGCTTTTAGAAAGCTCTGTTTTGTTAAGTGTCTTGGTCCGTGTTAGGCACACATAAGGACCTCATTCCTTACGGGGCGTTTGCCCCTGGGCATGATAGATTTGACTCTTTTTCCCGCTCTCCTACCTTCCCTTCAGCCTCTCTTGGACCGAATCTGAAAGGAGACTGAGGCACTGTGAGGTCGGACTTGGAAAGGAATTGTTGGGGTCCCCATTAGACCCCGTTTAGTCTTCTGACACACAGATAGTTCCTGCTTCACCACCAACAGCCCACGCGTGACGGCAGCCCAGCTTTCCCTTAAAGGTCTGGTCTGTCCCCTTCTTTGTGTGTGACTGCAAATGTTTAAAATTTCTGAAACTCAGAACGGGGATGTCTGAGCCTCAAAGATCCTCTCTGTTGAGCGAGGCGCTCTCTGCCTCACCCACCCCTGGGGTCTCCTGAAGTGGCTGGAAACCTGTCCTGGCCTCACCCCATGACCTGATGCTGCCCCACGAGGTCCACTCTTCTATCTCTGGGACATGGCTCACAGCCTCAGCAGGGGCTCCCTTCCTTCCCCCAGCTCTGTGAACATTTCCCCTCCCCTCGTACTTCCTGGGGGAGCCCCTGCCTGCTCAACACGCTCCCCACACCTGGTCCCCACACCTGCTGCAACTCATCCAGTCCCAAGGCCTGGACTCCGCCTCCCACGGAGGGGAGGGTGGGGACCTGGCCAGTGCTGGAGGCTGCACACACTCCTTGGAGCACCCAGGTGAGTTTCTGCCTGCGAGGTGCGAGGTCCTCTACCCACCTCCCAGGGATCGCGGGGGGGTTTTCACTACAGGCGACATGCAGGCACGCTGCTCCCGCGCTGAGGACTCTCTGGTCCTGTGAAGACACCTGAGGAAGTTGTTCCTCAGGGAATTCTTCTAGCCCCTCTCCTACTTAACACAACCGCAAGGAGGTCTCGTGTCTGTGCGTTTGTCTGGGCTCTGTCCGTTGTGTGCCTCCTCTCATTTAATCTTCTTCAAGCTCAACTAGAAAAGTGTTATCAGCGCCCCTGATGAAGGAGAAGAAGCAGAGTTAGGACTAAATCCCGAGGCCCCATCAGTCTGTGCCCGCGACAGGGATGCCATGTTTCCACGGCTCCATGCCGAAGGCGCACGGTGTTGTTTGACAGAACTGGCGCCTGCTGGGTGCTGAGACACTTCTCTGGGAACAGTGCCCGCTTACTGCAGGGGGTTCGCGCTCACCCTTACCAGGACGCATGTTTTGTAATTGAGGAGAGAGTGGAAACCAGTGTTTTCTGAGCCTCCTATTCTCATTCCAACGCTGGTTTCCAGTGGTGCAAGACAGCTCTCTCCACCTCAGTTACGGTGCTTTCCTGTTGCTGACCGCAACACCCAGTGCCCACAAGGAGGAAAAGTCTATTTTGGCTCATAGTCTGTAGGGTTTCAGTCCACAGCTGGGTGGCTCCAAGGCAGGGAGACACGGGAGAGAGACATGGCGGGGGAGAGAGAGGTCACGGCAGGGAGCGGGAAGCAGAAGGATCAAAGTGGGGCTGGAGGGCCCAGGCCCGCCCCAGTGCCCACCTCCTCCAGCCAGGCTTCCCCTCCCAACACCGCGGTGAGCTGTGAACCCATCAGTGGATTAATCCACATCCCCCCGTGAAGTCACTTTCCAAAGCCCCACGTACAAACACAAGACTCCCGGGACCTCCTGGTAAGTGGAGAACCAGTCAGCTGTGCCCTGAGCCTACCAGCACACGGGCTGAGAATCAAATGTCCTCCCCCTCCATGTTAGCAACTGGGGACCGAGGTCTCAACATGCCCTGGGAGGATGGCCGCATGCATACAGCACATATGGGGGATCTCCTTCTGTCTTGTGTTTGAAAGCAAATGTTTTCACTGATTTGCTTTGTTCTCACTGTTTTGCTCTATTCAGTATTCTGTCTTGATAGGTTTTATAATGTTCTGGTTTTGGTTTGATCTTGCTATACCTGATTGAATGGAGAGCTATTGTGAAGATAACGAGATATACTGTGGCACCTATCACTTATCCCTGTGTCCTGCTGTGAGGTTCTGTACCAACTTCACTGCATCCAGATTGCCTTTGTTCTGTCTTGTTCTGTTGTATTTTACTACCTTTATATAAAAAAAGAGAGACTCGGGACATCTAGATGTAAACCACAACATCACTTTAGCCCCACTCCTCAGAGCCCACCTTTCCAAGGACTTTATACACATGAGGCGAGGGAGCTATCTAGTGAAATTATCACAGATTTTGCCAGAGTCCAGAGGGAGGGAGGGCTATGGGGGAAAGCACAGCACACCTCAAATAGGCTTTGGAGCTGCACACCCCTGAGGCCACTGGCCACACTACCTGGAGTCTTCCAAGGGTCCCTGTGACGGTCCCAGGGGCCACAGTTTGTGCAGCCTGTGGTGGGACGGCAGGGTACCTGATCTGGGTGGCGGGTGAGTGGCGTGGTGTCAGGGTGGTGCAGAGGCAGACTGGCTCATGGAAGCTAGGTGAGTGGGATCCAGGACAAGGTCCGAGATGGGGAGATCCTGAGATGGGAGGAGTGAGGAGAGGAAAAGGGCTCGTGGCCGCTAATAACGTTCTGTTCTCACGCCTCGATCTGGTTCCCTGGTCTGTGGTCAGGTTCCAGTCCAGTGTTTGGACCCCGCAGAAGGGCAGCCCTGCATGGTGAAATTCTGCTCAAGAGAGTCAAAGGAGACAGACAGCAGGGAGCAACCAAGAACTAAGCCTTGCAAACCAGGAACTGATCAGGTTCTTCCCTCCTTTAAGGTGATTTTCTGAGCACCTGACCCAGCAATGTAGAACTGACCATCGAGCCCAGACACAGCTGCCTGTCCTCATGAATCACAGCAGCATTCATAGGAGCTGAGACTCAGAATCAGCCGAGGGGGCCATCCGTGGACACGAGTGAAGACAATGTGACATTCACATTCACACACACACACACACATGATGGAAGATCATTCAGCCCGGCAGGACAGTGAACTCCTGTCGTTCACAAAGAAGCGGGTAGAACTCAAGGACACTGAGTGAAGTGAACCATGCACAGAAAAACAGACAAAGTGGAAGAAAACCCGCCACTCCATTTGTCTATAAATAAACTGATACCCCGCAAGAGCCAGTTTTTCCAAAGTAGATAAAATACTTGAATCATCTGTTGTAAAAGTCCGGGCTCTCAGATGTACCCAAGGCTCTCTGTCCCCACCGAGAAAATCAGTAGAAGCAGGTGCCACACCCTGCCCTCTGTTTCCAGACTCTGTTCGGGTGCACAACACCAGGGACAGGGAGGTGACAGCCGGCCCTGTGCCTCCACGCTGGCGGGTGGATGGGTTCCATGCACCAACAATATTGTCACACTGTGCGGTGCCTTAAGGTTGTCACAGGGGGCCCCTGTCGTGAACACCCCATAAGCAGAGCAGGTCAGACCTAGACTTTCTTGCTCGGGAGGCAGGGGTCCCCCTTTAGTGTCTTTACATTAGCAGAAGTTCTTACCACGGTGCAGTTCAGAGCTTTGCACTTACCTTCAGAAAGCTGAATGTAAGTGGGTGTCTCTGGCTTTTCCAGAAAGGCATCCACTTCCTGGGAGAAGGTCACAACCTTCAAGTAAAGGGCTTTCCTTCTGGAAAGACCCAAATACATTCAGAAATGAGGCATGAGGCGAGAAGGGCTGAGGTCCTAGGAAAAGCCGACCATCAGGAAGGGAAGCAGAGCAGCCAAGGACAGGCCGAGCTGCCAGCCGGGCTTTGCTTGCAGGCCTGGACCCCTGCGTGGCTCTGGCTCCCTGCTGTGGTATATCTGTGTCTGAGCGCTGCCCGCTGGTCTCACAGGAGGGGACACAATGGCAGTGAGGCCAGCTTTCAGTTTCTGTTCCCGGAAATGAGCAGTTTCCAGGAGTCTGCAGGACAGTTCCCACACTGTCCATCAGGAGGAGTGAGAGAGCTGCAGGGCGGGCACCAGCTCCACTCCGGGCTTCCTAAGTCAGCCTGGGGAACCTGCAGCTGAGCACAGGCTGGCCGACTCCTGAGCCTGACCAGGCTGCTCCGCAGCCCCACCCGGGACACCAGGTCAGAGGGAGGACCTTGTGCAAGGCCACCGTCCAGACCCTGAGAGGCCCGCCCCTGTGACAGCTGCAGATGCAGTCTGTCCCCTGTGGCTGTTGTCTCCTGTGCCCTGCACCTGCTGCCTCCACCACACAGCTTGGCTCAGCCCCAGAGCTGTCATCCGCCTGGGACAAGAGGCTTGCTCCCCCAGGATAAGCTGAGCACTGATCTCAGCGTCTCCAGAATGGCAGCTCCAGCCTCAAACTCTCCCGGTCCCTCTGACTGATGGGCACTGTTGAGCGAAGTGTTTGTTCAGAGGATGCCCTGGGCCCCGACCTGGCTGGGCATGGAGGTGGCGTCTGCCAGGGGAGAGGGGCCCCCTGGTTCCCAGGTGAGGGGGTTGCTGGACAAGGCGTTGGGTTCTGAGCGGGCTCTGTGGACCTGTGTGGTCCAGCTGCCTCCTTTCTGATCCTGGAACTTCCCCATCTCTAGGGCTCACGCTGGCCCCTGCGGTCCCCTCCCTCACCCATGCAGTTCCCTCTGAGGGAAGGACCCCACAGCCACTCCTCCTCAGATCCCTGGGGCAGAGGCCCACAGGACAGCCCAGTGGGGTCCCAGGCTCTCTCAGCTCCTGGTCACCCCATCACCACTGTCTGGACTCTTCACGTGGCCACACACTCCAAGTCCCATGTCACACTCTGTGTTTCCCTCTATTTCCCATCTGTGCTGACTGACCGACCTACAAAGAGGGCAGGACAGACCTCAGGCCCCCACGCCACCCTGCAACCTTCCCCCAGCAGCAGGGCCAGCTCCCCAGGGAGTGTGTGCATGGGCCTCGGGCTGGGACACAGGGTTTGTGAGTCAGTTTTCTGGGTTCAGGGGCAGATTTCAAATGTTGGTAACTTGTGCAACCCCTCAGGGGCTGTGAGATTTCAAAGGTGACTGTGCCAGGCCTGATTTCTCCTTTCCCTCAGCAGGACAACCAGAAGCCCTTTGCCAGAGGATTCTTTGTGGATAGAGGTGGAGATAGGTAAGCAGTCAGTGAGGAGAGGACCAGGCCGCCCCACCGTTTGCAGGAAGCGAGCAGAGGACAGGAGCTCTGTATATCCAGGCTGCCCTGTCCTTGACACACTGATAGGGACAGTTGGATGAACATCCTCTGTGAGCACCTGCAGGGGCGGCAGGCAGGGAGAGTTAGAGGAGTTAAATGGGGGAGGGGAGGGGCAGAGAAATAGAGCCAGAGGGGAGAGAGCCAGAGGCAGAGAGGGAGTCAGGACAGAGAGGGAGACAGAGCTGATCAGGCCCCAGCCTGTCTACCAGGGCTCAGCTCCCTCCTGCCTCCTTCCTCTACCTCCAATTAAGCATAAAAGCAATCAAGTGGGTGTAGAGAGGCCACACTGACTCCATTTTGTCCCGATGCATCCGGTCAGCGATGGTATGGAAAAAGTGCAGGCCTTGAAACATCGCCCCGCCCCAAGGTGACAACATGAGGTCCTATAAGGTTAAGAAGCCAACAAGTTATATAGTCTGAGCATGTGCAATTTGAGTTTCTTTGCTCTATATCTCAACAAAAGCTGTTTGCTCAGGCTGGCCGGGCAGCAGCCATTCTGCTGAGCCTTGGTGTGTGCGACCCTTTATTTTCCCTTTGCTTGCAGAACCCCAGCAGGTGAGAAGAAGGCTGCAGTATAAAACCTCCCGCAGCATATCAGATACACGCCCCTGTGTGTGAGCCCCAACAACCTGCTCCTGCCCTGTCAGTACACTGGAGCGTGCGCGCACCCAAGGCCGTCCTGCTGTGAATCTCATGGGTCATGGGCGGGCCCCAGACAGCACAGAGGCCACAGCACACTCGTCCTAGAATGCACCCTTGCGTGGGTTAAGGGAGGGCTGATGGCCACATCCGGGTCTCAGAGCCCAGGACAGCCCTCGCTCTGGCAGCTCTCCGGTGGCGACAGCCATGTGCCAGGGAGGCTGAGAGCAGACTTGGTGCTTCCTGCTATCTCCTTCTCTTTCTCCCAACAAAGCCACCTTTCCCTATTTCCAACGAAGTGATTTTTCGAACCCTAGAGAAGGCTCTGCCCTCGCCAGGCAGAACTACATCAGGGGCCCAGATTGTCCTAGTCAACACAAGGCCTCCCGTGCCCCAGGCTCTCATGGCTGTCTCTTGCAGGTTGAAGAGAGGGAAGAAGATGACTTCTGTCCCTGCTCCCGTTGTCTCCATAAGGGAAGGGGTGGTTGCAATTTCATAAGACTCTGGACTCTGGCGGGGGATGCAGGGCCGGTCACCCTGAGTGTGGGACACAGCGTTGACTGCCTAGACATAGCACTGTCCCCGGAGGAGGAGAGCCTCCTGGCTCAGGGAGATACAGGCCACTGGCCAGAGAAGGCATCTCGCCACTCCCGAGGGGCCAGGTCAGCTCTCCAGTCCCTCTTGATGCCCCCCCATAGGGTGAATACCCCTTCAGAGCTGGGCAAAGAGGACCAGGGCAGAGAGAAGACCTCAAAGTGACCCACGGCCACTGCAGAGGAAGAGAGACACACACAGACTAGATGGTGAGAGCCAGAGGAGACTCACAGGGTACTGCTCTGTCCCGGGCCCTGCTCCTGGACGTCCAGGTCAGAACTGCCTCCCTCCTGAGGCTCTCGGTCTGCCTGGAGGTTTGGCAGTGCGAGTCTCGGGGCCCCGGAGCCCCAGCACTGCCCCAGCAGCATCTAACCTCCTCTTGCCCTCTGAGTCACTGTTACTCTGGAAATTAGCAGAGATTCCTCAAAAACTAAAAGCCTCTCTGGTTTCCTTTTGGTTTTCTTCACTGTCTGCCTTACTGGTCAGCCCACCCCTATGAGGGTGTGGCCCGGGCCAGGCTGTGGGAGGTCCTTCCTCTTTAGTGCTCCCTGGGGCTGGTGACAGGGTGCACAGGTCCTGGGGACTCACACTTCCTCACCTCCTGCCCTCTGAGCTGACCAGGCTGACACCGTGTTGGTATCCTGGAGAACTCAGGGCTCGCAGGCCACGTTGCTAGGCTCTGGAGAGCGGTGAGCACTTGGGGTTCAGCATTTCTCCTCCTGCAGTGGACACAGCGGGTGTGTTCCCTCACTAGCCATCTGCCTGAGGCTGGTGAGTGAGGATGCTGCTAAGTCTGAGGGGCCGGGGCTCTCACTATGTGCATAGTGGGCTGGGCCGGGCACTCTGTGGGGATGGGAGGCAAGGTCAGCTCACCCTCCTCCCACAGCAGAGACACTGGTCTCTGAAGACTCCTTTTGTTTTTGTTGTTGTGAAATTGTGAGAACGTTTGGACTGAGCAGACTATTTGCTGGGTGTCTCCCACTGCAGATGACGCCGTGCACTATCCAAATATCAGTGTTTTATAATGCTAGCTTGTCGGGCGTAGAATGTCTTAGAAATCTGTTTTTCGTCATCGATAATGCAGACAGTGTTTCTCGAGGGTGACGCGCATGTGCTCCGAGTCTGACTGAGCCTGACTACCCTCAGCAGCTGCTATATGGCTTTATTAACTGCCCCTGAAAACTCCGTCCTATTTTAGGGACCCTCAGAGGGTTCCGGGGCCCAGGCCCTTTTTAGGAGGTGGAAAAGCAAGCCGTGGGCTGTGAGCAGGAAGCAGTTTTCAAGCAGCTGTGTGATTCGAAGCTGAGGCTGTGGTTTCTCATGTGCATCCGTGTTACTCCCAACTTCCCCTGCACCTGTGAAGCTTAAAAAAACACAAGCAGAGTCAGATTTACGAGTCTGTTGGTGAACAAATGGCAAAGGAAAACCTGGTCTCCATGCACAGTGGGAGATACTGAGCCGTAGAGAAGGACAGAATTCCATCCTGTGTGGCTCCACGGTGAGCAGGAGGACAGCCAGAAATAGGCCGGGAAGACAGATGTGCCTGTTCTCACTCTTCTGTGGGATCTAAAAAGTTCATCAGGTAGAAACAGAGAATACGATACTGGTGCCCCAGAAGGAGAGTGGGGGGCAGCGTGTCAGCCAGCAGCAGTGCACAGTCCCTGGGACGGCCCAGGTAGAGGGAGCACAGCTGCATGCTGGCTCCTGTGTCCAGGCCCAGCCCTCGCCCACACTCCCGCGCTCTGGGCCGGCGGCGGGGCCTCTCACTGCCTGGAGCTCCTTGTACAGAGGCCTGCGCGCCACTCCTTATCTGGGGAGCAAAGGTGGAAGGAGAGGGGAAGAGCCCCGTGTCCCTCCCAGGACACCCAGCAGCCTGACTTCCATCCCAGCCCCACCTCCTGCAGGCCCATCGCCACCCAGGAGCACCATGGGCAGGGACCAAGCCACCAGCACCGGGGTTCAGGGGAGCCTCAAGATCCAGGTGGAGCAGGGAGGGCAGGGTGCTCCTGAGGACGACACAGATGACAGGGAGCAGGGTGGCTTGCAGTAGCACAGAGCGGGAGTGTCGGGACGCGGGGTCCCTTGCACACAGCCAGGAGAGAGGATTCTCGGTGTGTCCCAGCCAGGCAGTGGTCCGTGTTTGAGTGGGTGGGTGGATAGATGTTCATGGCTTTGACTTTGTCACTGACACCACACACACACGTGTGGAAAACCACCCTGTGAATCGTAGATATGAGCAGCTATCCTGTGTCATTTTAAAGTTAAGTGTATTGGTACCTTGTAGATACACATAGTGATCCTCACCGTAGGGAGTTTGTACCTGTGCGTGACATGTTTTGGTCCCTGTCTTTCCCCAGCCCCTCCTCTTCCCCTCCCTGTTTACAAAGCTGTTTTCATTTTATCCTTTTTTGGGAAATCACTTTTCTTTCCCTTCCATCTTTCTCCCTTCCCCGTCCCTAGCTCCTTGGTCCTTTTGAGCATTTGGTCCTTCCTTCCTATTTCAGATCCTCTCACCAGGGAGACACGGTGACAGTCACATGTGTGAGTCCAGTGTATTTCGCTTGGAAGGAAGGTCTCAAGTTGCACCCGTTAATCTAGAAATGGCTCGTGCGCGTCATTCTTATGGCTGAGTAGTACTCCACTGTTTGAAAACACACATCTTTTTTATCCATTCCTCAGGGGATGGGCATTTGGGCTGTTTCCAAGGCTTAGGTATTACAAACGGTGCTGCTATAAACATGGGTGCTCTTATATTGCTGTGGACGGATGTTTTAATTCTTCTGGGGTAATACCAGAAGGGGTATATTTGAGTCTAATGGTCCCACTAGTCCTGGTTTTCTGAGAATCGTCACACTGATTTCCACAGTGTTGCAGCAGTCTACACTCCCACCAACAGGGAAAAAAATCCCTTTTCCCTGCCACAGCCTCTCCATGATTATTGGTTGATTTGTTGATAATAACCATTCTTCCTGGAGTGAGAAGGAACCTCCACATTGTTTCCATTCGTGTGTCTCAAATAATCAGTGATAGTGAACATTTCTTCATGT